CAAAGAAGATTGCCACCAACAGACCCTGAAAAAAAAAAAAAAAAAAATACACATATAGATTAATGGAATCAGGAGTCCAGAAATAAACCCAATTGATTTTCAACAAAGGTGCCAAGACCATGGAATCAGGAAAGAAATCATGTTTTCAGCTAATGGTATTTGGCACAACTGGATATCCACATGCAAATGAATTAATCTGAACCCCCACCTTACATCAAAAAAATTAACTCAAATGGATCAAAGACCTATATGGAAGAGCTAAAACTGTAAAACTCTTAGAAGAAAACAGATTTATATTTCTTTATCCTTGGGTTAAGCAACAGTTCCTTGAATACGACACCAAAAGCAGGAACAACCACAGAAAAAGTAGATAAATGGACTTCATCAAAATTAAAAATTTTTTTACAATATCAAGAAAGTAAAAAGAGGGTGGGCACCGTGGCTCACACCTGTAATCTCAGCACTTTGGGAGGCCAAGGCGGGTGAATCGTGTGAGGCCAGGAGTTCAAGACCAGCCTGGCCAACATGGTGAAACCCCATCTCTACTAAAAATACAAAAATTAGTCGTGGTGGCACACACCTATAATCCCAGCTATTCGGGAGGCTGAGGCAGGAGAATCACTTGAACCAGGAAGGCAGAGGTTGCAGTGAGCCGAGATTGCACCACTACACTCCAGCCTGGGTGACAGAGGGAGACTCCATCACAAAAAGAAAAGTGAAAAGTGAACTCAGGATGGAAGAAAATATTCATAAGTTTTGTATCTGACAAGTGCCTAGTATCCAAAATATATAAAGAACTCATAATACAACAATAAAAAGACAACCCAATTGAAAAATGAGCACAGGATATGAACAGACACTTCTCCCAATAAGATACACAGATGACCAATAAGCACATGAAAAGATACACAAAATCATTAGGAAATGCAAATCAGAACCCCAGTGAGATACTACTTCACACTTGTATTAGTCTGTTTTTACACTGCTGATAAAGACATACCTGAAACTTGGCAATTTACAAAAGAAAGAGGTTTATTGGACTTACAGTGCCACGTGTTTGGGGAAACCTCAAAATCATGGTGGAAGGTGAAAGGTATGTCTCACATGATGGCAGACAAGAGAAGAGAGCTTATGCAGGGAAACTCCCATTTTTAAAGCCATCAGATCTTGTGAGACTCATTCACTATCATGAGAACAGTGCAGGAAAGACCCGCCCCCATAATTCAATCCCTTCCCACTGGGGTCCTCTCACAACGCCTGGGAATTGTGGGAGTTACAATTCAAGATGAGATTTGAGTGGGGACACAGCCAAACCATATCAACACCCATTAGGATAGCTATAATGTAAAAACAGAAAATAATGAGGCTGGGTGCGGTGGCTCACGCCTGTAATCCCAGCACTTTGGGAGGCCAAGGCAGGCGGATCACCTGAGGTCGGGACTTGGAGACCAGCCTGACCAACATGGTGAAACCCCATCTCTACTAAAAATACAAAATTAGCTGGGCGTGGTGGCGTACACCTGTAATCCCAGCTACTCTGGAGGCTGAGGCAGGAGAATTGCTTGAACCTGGGAGGCGGAAGTTGCAGTGAGCCGAGACCACACTATTGCATTCCACCCTGGGCAACAAGAGCAAAACTCCGTCTCAAAAAAAAATTGAAAATAATAAGTGATGAGGATGTGGAGAGACTGGACCTCTTAGATTGCTGGTGGTATTATAAAGTGGTGCTACCACTTTGGCAAACAATTTATCTCTTCCCCAAAATATATACCCAAGATGATTGAAAACATGTTCACACAAAAATTATTATTCGTATTAGCAGAAACAACCCAAATGTCCATCAGCTGATGAATGGATAAGCAAATTGTAAAATAGTACTTAGCTTAAAAAAGAATGAGGTGTTGATACATGAATGAACCTTGAAAACATTGTGTTAAGTGAGAGAGGCCAGACCTAAAAGACCACATATTGTGTGTTTCGTTCATATGAAATGTACACAAAAGGGAAATCCATAGAGAAGAGACAGCAACTAGGTTAGTAGTTGCCAGGGGACGGAGGGAGAAGGAATGTGGAGTGAGTGCTAAGGGGCACAAAGGTTTTTTTTTGGGTGATGAAAAAATGTTCTGGAGTTAAATAGTAGTAATGGTTGTACAATTTTGTGAATATCATAAAAACCACTGAAGGTCAGGCATCCTGTCCCATACCTGTAATCCTAGCACTTTAGGAGGCCAAGATGGGGAGGATCACTTGAGGCCAGGAGTTGGAGACCAACCTGGGCAACATAGCAGAATATCTTATAGAGATAGGGGGTCTCTACAAGAAATAAAAAAAAATGAGCTGGGCATGGTGGCGCATGCCTGTAGTCTCAGCTGCTCAGAAAACTGAGGCAGGAGGATTGCTTAAGCCCAGGAGTTTGAGGCTACAGTGAGCTATGATTACACCACTGCACTCCAGCTAGGGAGACAGAGTGAGACCCAGTCCCTAAATAAGTAAATAAATAAAAATTACTGAATTTTATAGTTTAGTATGTTGAATTTTGTAACATATAAATTATCTTTCAATTTAAAATGCCATCATTTTAAGTAATAGTTAATGTCCCATGAATCATGGCACTGTTACGTGCTGTGCAGATTAACTTGAAGTACATAATATACATACAGATACATTTGATAGCACGATGTGTATTCCTTCCTTCTATGTGACTACTTTCTTATCACTAAAATTTTTTTTAGAGTCACACTTATTGTGGTCTTATAATGCCTGTATAGTAAAATTCTTACTACATTTAACTTGTATTTTGGTATGGTGAGTTCTTTGAAAAACATCTCATTTAAACTTACATGTTATCTTTAAAGGAGCAAGTACAATGATGATGGACACTTAGGAAAGGGAAATTGTTCACTTTGACTTTCCATTAATTACTAATATTACTGCAGCTCCCTAAATTTCCTTAGGAATTTGCAAGAGTTTGTAAAATACAATATTATGTCACTATTTCAGCTTTTTTCATAGCCATTTTATATATAAATTTTATAAAAGTTTTGTTCATATGAAAAAATATAAATGTACACATAGCTAAAGATAATTTTATATATATAAATACGTTTCATTTTATATATATAATTTTTTTTTCAGGCCAAGCAAATAAAGTAGCCAAAGAAGCTGCTAACAGATGGACTGGTATGTACCATAATAATACTGATAAACATTCACACTTACTGTGATGTGAAATTCAGATACCTTGTGCTGGCTTTGTTCAAGAAAGGATATTTCTGAAAAATGTATGCATTACTCAGATGTTTACATATTAAATCATTTCAGTTATTTAAGGTTATTTTTTATAATCTTATGAGTCATTTTGTAAAGTATAAGATATTTTTGTAAAACTAATGATTGCTTCCAGTTTAACTTTTGTACAACTTTTCCCAAGGTGAGTCACTTGGGCTAATAACTTAACTTTCATATATATTAATGTAAGATACACTTTAAGATAATGGAATCTTAAAGATTTATATTCTCGCTAATAATGATAATAGCTAAGGTTTGTTGAGGACTGACTATATGCCAGTTATTGTAATGTCTATGGTTCATTCTCATTTTATCTCCATGATAATCTTGTGAGGTAGATATGATTATTATCCCTGATTTAGGAGACAAAACTAAGACCCTCAGGAGTCCAAGGCCACACATTAGTCAGACAGCAGAACAGGAATTAGAATCCAGCTTTTTTGGCTGGACTTAAAGTGACTGTGTTTAGTCAAAGGCAATTAGTCACTGGAAGAACAGATGCTGGAGCCAGGTTTCTCTGACTCCCTGTCCAGGCCTCTGTTTCACACAAAAAAATAAGAATTATTTTTTTCCTACTCTATTTTATAATTAAATAGATTGGTAAAATCAATATAACTGGCCTTTAGGGTTTTTTTTTTTCTGAAATTGCAGTTTTATTTATTACAAAGTTATTTCTTAAGTAAGGTAATGCTTTAGTGATAAGAATAGAGGAGGGTACAAAAGCAAACTGACATAAAAGAGAATAATGAAATAAGTGTCCCACAAAGTGTAAATAAATATGGATTTTTAGGTTAAAAATAAGACAGAAATCCAAGGTGATTTCCCCCAGTATTTTCAACAAAGAGGCTCAGCACACAGTAGGCACAGGCAGCATGTGTGTGTAGTGGGAGGAACGTGGCTTTGAAAATAATCCAAGCTGTTCTCCTTACTTGCTGTGTGACCTCTTGACCCCCTCTCAGCCTGCTTCCTCATCTGTTCATTGTGGATAAATAATACCTACCTCCCATTTTGGGAGGATTAAATAAGGCAGTTTGTAAGCCCTTCAGCACCATGTTGGACACGTAGATAAATACTCCTCTTTTCCTTTTCTTCTCTTAAAAAAGTTCATGATTTCCAATTGATCATAAACTTCCAAAATTATAATTGGAAAAACATTTGGAATGGCTTTTTTTTTTTCCCTATCCTATTAGCTACAGAAGAACCTGGGACTTTTAAAACCATGAGGAAGAAAGATATTTTTAGAATAGCAGAAACAGCTGTTAAGAACCATATTTCCATTTAAAGTTACAGCTTACTCCTTCCAACTTCCAGCATAAACATGTGTTATGAAAAGATGGAGATAAGAGATAAAGCATCGCACCTCAGAAAACCGCCACCTTCACAACAAACAAAAAGAAAACAGTAGTAAAATGAGAATTATTTTTTTCCTAGTCTATTTTAGAATTAGGTAGATTGGTAAAATCAATGTAATTGGCCTTTAGTTTTTTGTTTTTTTTTTTTAATGAAATCGCAATCTTATTTATCATATAGCTATTAAAGTTTGATTTAATATTCATATTAAAATTATCATATAGAAAGAAAGTTTGCTTTCTTTTTACTTAAAAAAGCCCTGGCCGGGCGTGGTGGCTCATGCCGGTAATCCCAGCACTTTGGGAGGCCAAGGCAGGAGGATCACTTGAGGTCAGGAGTTCAAGACCAGCCTGGCCAACATGATGAAACCCTGTCTCTACTAAAAATACAAAAATTAGCCAGACATGGTGGCACACACCTGTAACACTAGCTACTCAGGAGGCTGAGGTAGGAGAATTGCTTGAACCCAGAAGGCAGAGGTTGCAGTGAGCTGAGATCGTGCCACTGTACTCCAGCCTGGGCAAGAGTGAGACACTGTCTCAAGAAAAAAAAAGGTCCTTAAAAATGTATCTGGAATTGAGAATATATACTGTTCAACAATTCCGTATCTCAGTTCTATAGGATGAGAGATTACCTCAGAGTCTAAGTATAGAAATGTCACATCTAAATGTTTGGTGACATTAAATACACTTTAAGTGTGATTTCAATTATATCATATGAAACCTTGCTTAATAATTAAGATGGTGAGGTTTTTGTAAACACATATGAGAGGCATCTTAATGAGTGAAGAGGGATAGGTGTTGCCAGGGCCTAACCTAGATTCATTGCAAATGATATTGCTCATCCTATTCCTATAGGTATCTTCGCCGTGCCACCGTATAAATCAAACAGCCTTAAGGTTGTTTGTTTAAAATAAAAAAATTATTCTATATCCATTTATAAAAATTTCTACATTAAATAGGGAAATTATTTGACAGAGAATGAACTATCAAGATTGTCAGTGACATTATCTTGAAGGCTGACATCCAGTGGCCCAAAGAAATGTTTAATCAGAGTCTTCTTTGAATTGGTCCAGTAGGCATAGTTGTGGAGAGGTTTTTATTTGTTCTTTTTCTTGCTTTTAACCTTTAAATGTTTATAATGAAATAGTTTCTTATCCTTCTATAAATCAGGAAATCCTTCCTGTACAGGCTATTCAGTAGTCTTACCCTGATGCCTCATTCTCTTTTCTGATCCAGGTTTGAAGTTGATTCCCTGCAAGCTTCCTACATTGTTGTATCTGTTCTCTCATTTCCTAGAAATCTTTCTGTATTCATGAAGCCTATCCTGTAAGCTGTACACATAAGACTTGGCCTTTTCTCTCTGAGACACCTATCACTTTATAATTGTTTAGTAATAAATTATTATTTTGTCTCTCTTGTGTCAACTTGAAGGCATAGGTTCTTCACATTCTGTAATATCTGCAGTACACCTGATACTTGTCTTATGTAGCAGCAGACCCTCTATAACATTTGGGTGTGATTAGCAAGAATGTACTGGTTGGGCAGAGACTGGTAAAAATTATCCTGGAATACCTTATGGTGCTATTTTAACATTCTCTCTTAGGTTGTTGTGAAAAGTAAAGATTCATTTTAGATTGTTACAGAGGGTAAAGTTCATTTTAATATCTGTTGACATTCCATAACACTTTAATTGAAAGAAATTAATTTTGTTAACATTATTCTATTTGATGCAGTAGTATTCTCCATAAAATTCATTCCAGAAATGTGCTTATCATTATTTGATACTTGGAATTAAACTTCCATAGAAAAAATATTTTAAAAAGTGATCAAACTCTATGTATTAGTTTTCTAGAGGTGCCAGAACAAAGTATCACAGATAGGGTGGCTTAAACAACAGAAATTTTTCTGACCATCCTGGAGAATCAAATTTCAAGATCAAGATGTTGGCAGGTTTGGTTTCTTCTGTAGGTCTTCCTTCTCACTGTGTCCTCTCACAATCGTTCTGTGTCTCTCAGTGTGTTCACATTTCCCGTTTTTTTTTTTTTTTTTTTGAAATGGAGTCTTGCTATGTTGCCCAAGCTGTAGTACAGTGGCGCAGTCTCAGCTCACTGCAACCTCCACCTCCCTGGTTCAAGCAATTTGCCTGCCTCAGCCTCCTGAATAGCTGGGATTACAGGTGCACACCACCAGACCCGGCTAATTATTTTTGTATTTTTAGTAGAGATGGGGTTTCACCATGTTGGCCAGACTGGTCTCTCAAACTCCTGACCTTAGGCAATCTGCCCGCCTCGGCCCCCACAGAGTGCTGGGATTACAGGCGTGAGCCACTGCACCCAGCCAATCCTTTTCCTTTCTCTTTTTGCTTTTTTTTTTTTTTTTAAAGACAGAGTCTTGCTTTTTCGCCAGGCTGGAGTGCCGTGGCACTATCTCAGCTCACTAAACCTCTGCCTCCTGAGTTCAAGCGATTCCCCTGCCTCAGCCTCCTGAATAGCTGGGACTACCGGTGCACGCCACCACGCCCAGCTAATTTATTTGTATTGTTAGTAGAGGCAGGATTTTACTATGTTGGCCAGGATGGTCTCTATCTCTTGACCTCGTGATCCTTTTCTTATAAAGACACCAATCCTACTGGATTAGGACCCATCCCAATGACCTCATTTTAACTTAATCACCTCTTTAAAGATATGTTTCAATATAGTCACATTCTGAGGTCGTAGGGGCTAGGACTTCAACATACAAATTTGGGGGGAAAATGATTCGGCCCATAACATTCCAGAAGAACCTATTCTAACCCTTTACTTCATTGTCACTACTAATAGATTGTTTAACATTTTACAGAATACTCTGACAAGCTATAACATCTTATACCATCGTTTTTTCTGTGTGTGTAATACATTTTCATCATAAAGGTTGTATATGTACATTAAAGAAATATATGAAATTAAGAAAAGAAAGGCTGGACACGGTGGCTCACACTTGTAATCCCAGCATTTTGGGAGGCCGAGGTGGGTGGATTGCTTGGGCTTGGGAGTTCAAGACCAGCCTGGGCAACATGAAACCTCATCCCTACAAAAAATACAAAAGTTGCCAGGTATGGTGGTGCACGCCCGTTGTCTCTGCTACTTGTGGGGCTGAGGTTGGAGGATTACCTGAGCCTAGAAGGTGGAGACTGCAGTGAACTGAGATTGCACCACTCATTGCACTCCAGCCTGGGAGACAAAGCAAGATCCTGTCTCAAGGAAAAAAAAATCCACTGTTCCTCCCACCCTCTCAAGTGCAGCCACTGTGAGCGCACTGGCACTGTCCTGCCTCCCTCACTAGCTTCCTGATAAGTAGACATTTAGATTGCTTTTATTTTTCTATTATGGCACTGGGATAAAGACCCTTGACCAAAAATCCTTGTACACAGTTTGTTTTCTTTCCTTGGGATAAATCCCCTGAAGTAGATGTACCACTTTTTTTCAGTCGTTAATGCATTTTAAATCCCCCCAGGAGATGCTGAGGACATTTCTATTCTTAGTCTTAAGAGAACCCCTTTCCCTGCTCCCCACCCCCCTCCCTACTACTGGCCTGATTGTCTGGAAGCCATTACTGTCTGTGGGACAGGAAGAAGGGTCCGGAGAGAATGTGTTCCCTTTGGGAACCGGAGCAACTTTAATTCCTGAGGCAACAGTCCTGGCCTCTGCTGTGGAAATGTAGAAGAGACACCATTAACCTGTCCCTGTTTTTGTATTATTCTTAATTAAGTCTGATATTTAGCAGCAAGCGGCCTATAGAATTTTAAAATATGAGATCTATTAACTTGTTCAAAATAGTATTTAAATACTTTTTTTTTGATACGGAGTTTCACTCTTGTTGCCTAGGCTGGAGTGCAATGGTGCAATCTCGGCTCACCACAACCTCCGTCTCCCAGGTTCAAATGATTCTCTTGCCTCAGCCTCCCGAGTAGCTGTGATTACAGGTGCCCGTCACCAACCACACCCAGCTAATTTTTGTATTTTTAGTAGAGACGGGGTTTCACCATCTTGGCCAGGCTGGTCTCAAACTTCTGACCTCATGAGCCGCCTGCCTCGGCCTCTCAAAGTGCTGGGATTATAGGCATGAGCTACCGCACCTGACCTTAAATACTTTTTAATTAGTTGCCATTACTCTTAAAAATACAGAAAACTCCTTATTTTGATGTATCTGAAAGTTAATAGAAGGAAGTAAAAGAACAATGAAGATAATTGTACTTGAAATGTTTTATGATTATGTTTTTCTCAAAATTATTTCTCAATTTTCTTTATAGATAACATATTTGCAATAAAATCTTGGGCCAAAAGAAAATTTGGGTTTGAAGAAAATAAAATTGATAAAACTTTTGGAATTCCAGAAGACTTTGACTACATAGACTAAAATATTCCATGGTGGTGGAGGATCTACAAGTTTGTGAATATGTAAATTTTAAACTATTATCTAACTAAGTGTACTGAATTGTCATTTGGCTGTAACTGTATTTATCATTTTATTAATGTTAAATAAAGTGTAAAATGCAGATGTTCTTCACCCCTTTTTGTAGATCAAAAGCAGGATGATAACCATATCCCCCCAGTGCTCATCAGAGTAGGACAATACAAATAAAGCCATCCATCTCAGTGCAGGCAGATTTACAAATGATTTTTTTTTAAGATCAAAACCATGACGTGATAATGCTTTAGTTTTGTTTAAATATTAATATTAACTATTAAGGGTGTATTTGGACAGGGCATGGTAGCTCACACCTGTAATCCCAGCGCTTTGGGAAGCTGAGGCAGGCAGGTCACTTGAGCTCAGGAGTTCAAGACCAGCCTGGCCAACATGGCAAAACCCCCCTCTCTTAAAAATACAAAAAGTAATTCCAACTACTTAGGAGACTGAGGCAGGAGAATTGCTGGAACCCAGGAGGCGGAGGTCACAGTGAGCTGAGATTGTGCCACTGCACTTTAGCCTGGGCAACAGAGAAAGGCTGTGTCTCAAAAAAAAAAAAAAAAAATGTATTTGAAGGATCCATCATACGTATACACACACCTAAATGCTTGGAAATAACCTTTAAAATCCTAATGGCTGCTCTCCTATTTCCCAACAGTGACCGAACTCAGTATTCTGCATTATCTTTGCAAATTTCCCACAGAAAAAAATACAGAAAGTTGGTATTCCTCAAATGTAGTTAAGTAGTAATGCCTCAGACATGAAAACTCCTTTTTTCTTTTGAGTTTTTGATACCTTTCTACTGGAAGGAACAAGTGCATGGCCATTTGTCCTGATTTATGCACTTTTTATAAGATGATATACAGTCATGTGTTACTTATCAATGGGGATATGTTACTTTTCAATGGGGATATTGCTCCTAGGCTACAAACCTATACAGCATATTATGGTACTAGAGACTGTAGGCAATTGTAACACAATGGTAAGTATTTGCATATCTAAACATAGGAAAAATATAGTAAAAACACAGTATAGGACCATGCGCAGTGGCTAACTCCTGTAATCCCAGCACTTTGGGAGGCCGAGGCAGGTGGATGATCTGAGGTCAGAACTTCGAGACCAGCCAGGCCAGCATAGCAAAACCCTGTCTCTACTAAAAATAAATTAGCCGGGTGTGGTGATGCACGCCTGTAGTCCCAGCTACTCAAGTAAGCTGAGGCACAAGCATTGCTTGAACCCAGGAGGCGGAGGTTGCAGTGAGCTGAGATTGCATCACTGCACTCCAGCCTGGGCAACAGAGCGAGACTCTGTCTCCAAAAAAAAAAAAAAAAAGTATAAAAGATAAAAATGGCACACCTGTCAAGGGCACTTACCATAAATGGAGCTTGCAGGGCAAGAAGTTGCTCTGTGTGGCAAGGTGCAGTGACTCACGCCTGTAATCCCAGCACTTTGGGAGGCCAAGAAAGGCAGATCACAAGGTCAAGAAATCGAGACCATCCTGGCCAACATGGTAAAACCCCATCTGCTAAAAAAGAAAATACAAAAATTAGCTGTGGTGGTATGCGCCGGTAGGCCCAGCTACTCAAGAGGGTGAGGCAGGAGAATCGCTTGAACCCAGGAGGCAGAGGTTGCAGTGAACCTTAGATCGCACAACTGCACTCCAGCCTGGGCGACAGAGTGAGACTCCATCTCAAGCAAAAAAAAAAACAGAAGTTGCTCTGAGTGAGTGAGTGGTGGGTGAATGTGAAGGCCTAGGACATGACTACACACTACTCTAGACTTTGTAAACACTGTACACTTGGGCTACACTAAATTTATAAAAAAAATTTTCCTGTAATAACCTTAGCTTACTACAATTTTTTACTTTATAAATTTAAGTTGTTTAAACGTTTTGGCTCTTGTGAAGCATTTAGTTTAAAATGTACAGCTGTACAAAAATTTTATTAATATTAAAAATATTAAATATTAAAAATAATAAATATTTAAAAATTTTTTGAGGCCGGGCGTGGTGGCTCATGCCTGTAATCCCAACACTTTGGGAGGCCAAGGCAGGTGGATCACCTGAGGTCAGGGATTCGAGACCAGCCTGACCAACATGATGAAACCCTGTCTCTACTAAAAAAAAAAAAATTAGCCAGGCATGGTGGCAGGCTGAGGCAAGAGAATCACTTGAACTTGGGATGTGGAGGTTGCAGTGGGCCCAGATCGCGCCACTGCACTCCAGTTTGGGCAACAAGAGCGAAGCTCAAAAAAAAAAAAAAATTTGTCTGCATGTGGTGGCTTACACTTGTAATCCCAACACTTTGGGAGGCTGAGGCAGGCGGATCACTTGAGCCCAGGAGTTCGAAACCAACCTGGGCAAAGTGATGAAACCCTGCCTATACAAAGAAATATAAAAATTAGCTGGGTGCGATGGCACGTACCTGTAGTCCCAGCTATTTGGAAGGCTGAAGTGGAAGGATCACTTGATCCTGGAAGTCAGAGGTTGCACTGAGCTGAGATCATGCCACTGACTCCAGCCTGAATGACAGAGTGAAATTGTGACTCAAAAGAAAAAATTAAAAACTTTTTGTTAAAAACCAGGGCAAACACATTAGCCTAGACCTACACAGGGTCAGGATCACCAATATCACTGTTTCCACCTCCACATTCTGTCCCACAGGAAGGTCTTCAGGGGCAATAACGTGCAGGGAGCTGTCATCTCCTGTGGAAACAGTTCTGGAAAACTTCCCAAAGGACCTGCCTGGACCTGTTTTACAGTGAGCTTTTTGTTTTATTTTTGTTTTTGTTTCTGTTTCCTTTGAGATGGAGCTTTGCTCTGTCACCCAGGCTGGAGTACAGTGGCATGATCTCAGCTCACTGCAACCTCCAACTACTGGGTTCAAACGATTCTCCTGCCTCAGCCTCCTGAGTAGCTGGGATTACAGGCATGCACCACCACACCTGGCTAATTTTGTATTTTTAGTAGAGATGGGATTTCTCCATGTTGGTCAGGCTGGTCTCAAATTCCTGACCTCAGATGATCTGCCCCCGTTGGCCTCCCAAAATGCTGGGATTACAGGCATGAGCCCCTGCACTCGGCCAACCTTCTTTTTAATAAGTAAAAGGAGTACACTCTAACATTAAAAACATGGAAAATACATAAACCGGTAACATCGTCATTATCATTGTCAAGTATTATGTACTATATATACTTGTATTGCCACCCTTTTATTCAGCTGGCAGTGCAGTAGGTTTGTTTACACTATCATCACCACAAACACATGAGTAATGTGTTGCACTAAGACATTGCTATAGCTACGATGTCACTAGGTGGTAGGAATTTTTCAGTTCCATTATAATCTCATGGGACCACCATCATATATGTAGTCTGTTCTTGACACTGTTGTGAAACAATACGTGACTGTAGTTGTGTTTGTATAGCACACATCACCAAGTATATAAAATTTTAGGGTTATTTTTCAGCTATCTAAAAAAGTAGGTTAAAAATGATATATCCCATGTATATATCTTTTTCCAGTTCAGCCTGGCTATTTAGATAATTTGCAGGCACTCCACATCTAAAGAAATAAAATCAAAACGTATGTAATGCCCTTTACACACATGCTTAGTTTTTTTAAATTGTCCAATTTTGATTTCTTTTAAGTAACTCAAGTGAAATACTCCATATGTCTGAAATGACCCAAATGGCATCCAAACCATTTGTTAATGAATCTGGCCTTTGTATCGCATGGAGTTGCTCTGGGCCTACTTAATCACTTCCTGGAGGTTGGTGGGGAGCAAATTGGTCTATCTTTGTTCATGAGGCCAGTTTACGTCGCCTTAGGCAACAGCTCTTCTGACAAGAGAAAGTATTTGATGTGAGAGACAGAGGACAAAAAGTAAAAAGAACCAATTTTTCTAAAACTAATTGTGGGAATTCCAAAACTTCTCAGGCCCAATTTGCTATTATTATAAAAAATACTTGTTTAGAAAGGAGGTATGTGTGTTCAAAAAGGAAACCATTTCTAATGATCTCTAAAATATGCTGTTTAATATTTAGGTAACTTAAGAATTTAGTTCTCTATAGGGCTAGCACAAGAGTGAGTGAGATGGGGGTCTATACATGAGCTAACCAGAGGCTTAGCATCTTCTTTAGCCAGCAGTGTGCTAAGTGTTTAATAGCTGGCGGTCTGGAAGAGGGAAGGTGACTTACAGTGTTTGCCTACTTGCGTGGTATAAGTACTGCCAGCATAGGTTACCAATGCGATACCAGTAGAGAAGGGGAAGAGATGCTCAGCAGCACACCGTTACATAGTATCTCCACCGTACAGATGCAGTAGATAATAAATCTCAACAGCCCAGGGAACGGTAAAATGTAGTAAAGTACTTAGGGAGTGATCATGCTTCAGTATTTGGTGTCTTTGTTTTTTATATACAGTTCATCATTCTTTATATAACTTCGTCTTTAATGCTGGCTGTTTAACCACTGGCTCTCTGTTAAACAGTTGACTTACCTGCTCCTGTCCATCACTGTTGTTAATCTTTAAGAGCTGTTTTTGAGTTTGTTCTCTCCTGAAGTTTGAGATCCTAGTTAAGTAGGCAGGAAGCCAGGCATGGTAGCCTGTGCCAGTAGTCCCAGTGTATTAGTCCATTCTCATGCTGCTAATAAAGACACACCCCAGTCTGGGTAATTTATAAAGGAAAGAAGTTTAATTGACTCACAGTTCAGCATGGTAGGGGAGGTCTCAGGAAACTTACAATCATGGCAGAAGGGGAAGCAAACATGTCCTTCACATGACAGCAGCAAGGAGAAGTGCCAAGCAAAAGCGGGGAAAACCCCTTATAAAACCATCAGATCTTGTGAGAACTCACCCACTATCCCGAGAACAGCAGCATGGGGTAACTGACCCATGATTCAATTATCTTTCACTGGGTCCCTCTCACGACATGTGGGGATTATACGAACTACAATTCATGATGAGGTTTGGGTGGGGACACAACAAAACCATATCACCCAGGTACGGAGGAGGTAGAGGTGAGAGGATTGCTTGAACCCAGAAGATCAAGGCCAGCCAGGACAGCATAGTGAGACCCTGTCTCTTAAAAAA